TGTGTAATGACTACTAGTACTGTTTTTAAACCAGTATAAATACTTGGAGGCTCAAGTCTTCAGAGCCTACCCCAAAAATGTATACTCCAGAAGAGGGTCTGTGTTTGTGATTATGTGAAGGGAGGCCCTTTGGGGACTACCATTGCTATATCATGTAGTGATTTAAATAACCAAACTACTAATTATTTCTTTGTAGTGTATAAAAGGAATGTTTTTAAAAAACAAAAACCCAACCTTTTCAGGATTTTTATCAACTCTTTACTCAGTAAAACAAGTCACATTCTAATTATGGAAGATATTTTTTATACTTAATTGCAGTAAGGACTCATTCCCAGTCAAAGCAATGGTCACAGCTTCACATGGAACCAATAAATATGTATTGTTTTTGATGAAAGGAAGACTGGCAATAAAGCTGTCCATTCACTCGCAAATATTTGGTTATAAGGTAGAGCCACTTACACTCTTTCATGTCTAGAAATTCTGTCATTATTCAAAAAATGTTTTTGATCATGCTACTAAACATTTTTGGAGATAAAAAATAAAGTAGTAACTTCTAAATATTATGTCAAGAATTAAATGTGGCCATTAAATCATTAGAATGTAGATATAATAATAGAGAAACGGAATATTATTAAATAGACAAATTTTTTGTGTTTACTTGAGCACTGGGGATATTTAGCATACATAAATTAGTATAGAGAGACTGTTGTCTCTCTGTTGAGATAATGTCCTTAGTGTCTACTGTCTTCATGGACAATGCTGAGTCATTATACTTTGCCTTACTATGTCAGCACTTGAATATACTTAATTTATTGATTTTTTAAGCATTTTCTTTGAATGGGATTTAAATCTAATAAAAAACATTTCAGTAGTAATGTTCACTTAAAAGCTTTCAGGTCTCTACACTGTTTATGGCATATTAACCTATCACAACTAAATGTAGCTGTCCATAGGTTTGTTTTCAACTTAGTTTAAAGCAAATCTTTTTTCCACTCTTACTATTAAATATTCATTGCACACACTTGATGGCATTTCTGTAACAATTTATAGAGATAAACCTTATATTTTAAATTATGTAATACTTTTTAGAATTCATACCTAGTATGATGTGATCTTCTAAAACTTAATGTTGTTGAGATGTAAACTGAGGGCCCAGTTGGGTAGGTGTGTTTGTTTATAGCATTACTCTGGTAGTTTTTAATCTAAAGTAGTTTAGGGGTGCCTGGGTGGCTCAGTGAGTTAAAGCCTCTGCCTTTGGCTCAGGTAATGGTCCCAGGGTCCTGGGATCGAGCCCTGCATCGGGATGTCTGCTCTGCAGGGAGCCTGCTTCCTCCTCTCTCTCTCTGCCTGCCTCTCTGCTTGCTTGTGATCTCTCTCTGTCAAATAAATAAATAAAATCTTAAAGGAAAAATAAAGTAGTTTAAAATATCTGGTTCTACCTTCATGAAAGAGATGTTTGTACATAAAAAGCACTATCGAAGTCTTTTGTAAATCTTCATTTAGCATGATTTTTGACAGTGCATAGATATTATAAATGCCCTTTGCTAAACACGGCTTCAGTAAAAGTTAAAAAAGAATCTGGAATTTATCTTGTTTTGAAATCTAAGTCACCATTATACACATTATTTGCTTAATAAGTTAGATATATATATGTTAGAAATTACTAATGGAAAATATATGCTCTGTCTATCCTCATTTAAAATACTTCAGCTACAGAGGTATTTTTTTCAAATCAGTCAACTTATTTTAATTGTGAGTGCTAGGAATTAATTTTACAGTTATTTACCAATGAGAAATTAGTCTGTTATGTAAATTTCACATTGTAATTGTCACAAATAATTGATGAAGTATCCCTGTGAATATATGTTGTACAATATACATACACATAGCAACATACATAATATGTATGTGATTTATGTATTTATTAGAGTTTCCTCAGTAAATATATCTAGATTATCTTATTGGTTAATACATTAAATATTGAAATACTTTTAAAATCACAATTGCATTTTAAAAATTAAGTTACTTTTAAGTTAATTTTCAAGCAACTGAAAGGTGATCTCTTATCCTAAAGCACTTTTTAAGTATTTGTGCTGTCTGATCATTTAAAGATCTTTGTGCAAGGTTACTGTAATAATGTACCTATGCTTGTGTGTGTATTTGTATGTGTGTATATGAGAGAGAGAGAGAGAAGAAGGGAAAGAGATCTGAAAGCAACCGTTACATCCTTGTTACAGTTATGGCAACTTAGTACAAGAATCAGAACAGCAACTAGAAACATCATATTAAACTCTCTTGCACCCTCTGTTGTTATTTTTGGGGATATCTTTCCATGATTGTATTGGCATTAGACTAAAATCCCTCATAAAATTAATACTTAGTTTATTATACTTGCTCCAAATTAGGTTCATAGTAAAGTAGCATTTATTTATAATTCTTGGTTTATGTTTCCTTCTATTACAAATATGTTTTTATTGTATAACACCTTAAGTCAAAGAGGAACCTCTCTGTTTGTCTTTGATTTCTCCTAGTTACCAGTTTCAAGCCCCTCCAAATGTTTGACACAAATGAAAATCTCTGCAGGATATACACACTATATACAGTTTTCCAGAATTACAAATTCTGCCTGTTCTTTTGTAAATCTTTCAATTGTCAGACAGTTTCCTTCCAAAATAAGAATCTGGAATTGTCCATACTAAAATTAAGAATTTATAACTGTTAGGAACAGATGTTTTCATAAACATTTGCTATAATTAATTTCAACTAGAGGTTTGAAGGAACAAAGCAGTTTTTCCCGCTTCAAAACTTTACAGCCTTTTCCCCATATAGCAAACTCTGAAATCGTTTCTTTAATACTATTCAGAAAAATAATTGTACTCCTTATTTGGTATGTTTTTGAAAAAGAAAAACTGCTTTTTTTCCTTATTCCAATCCTTCGAAGGTTACATTTAATGTGATATGCTCATTTTGAAACACGTATAAGATGAAGAAAACCTTTGTAATATATTATGATGGCAAAACCTAGTTTAAAAAGCTGAAAGTCTCTTAATTATTTGAAGGATTTTATATTTGATCTGGCAAATATCAGCAGAAGGGAAGAAATATTCTATTGGTGAGATCTTCTGTATTTAAGTAATTATAATCTTTAGTTTTAAAGAGAAAGAAGGCTCATATTTTAAATGTATGATATAGTTACTTATTTTATGCTGGTTATAGAATGTTTCACAGGAAATGTCTGCAAGCTGTTAAATAACATGTGTTGTAAGAAATTTTCATTTAGTAAGAAACAGAGTAATTTTCTTTAAAAATCCTTTTAGTTTATTTATTATAATACCGTTTAATTTTTTAAGAAAATAAAGTATGTTCTATGAGTGATCTTATAGTATCCATGTTTTCAAAGAACTAACAAAGTATGCCCAGCTAAATTGATCTTAAACATTTAAGTAGTTTTGGATAATTTTCTTCTATAAAATTTGGCAATAGTTTTGAATGCTGTAATCCATTTTAGGATTTTTGTTTAATGAAAAAAAAACCTGAAGTGCATTTTGAAAAAAGAATAGCATGGAACACTGGGTGTGGTGCATAAACAATGAATTTTGGAACACAGAAATAAAAAATTAAAAAAAAAAGTAAGTGGACTCAGTCCAATTCTTGTCCTCCTAAACACTTTGGCACAGATGTAAAGATTTTGAAAAGAACCAACATTCTTGACTAATCTGTCAACTATAAAATGTGCAAAGAAAAATAGGTAGCTGTCATTAAAATTACATTTCAGCTTTCAATAACCATTTAATAAGTACCATAATTATATAAGTATGGTACCTTAAGTACTGTACTCAATAATTAAAAATAATCTCATCTTTAAAGTGAAAGCTCTGTAATTACTATTTGACTTAACCAGGACCACTGTGATGATCTCCAGTGGCACCTTAGATTGTTCAAAGTGGATTAAAGTATACATTAAAATGGATAAATCATTAAATTATTAAGCTTTAAATTTCATAAAAATGAATATAACCTGATGTTTGATAGTTACATTACAAGAATTAGAAGTATAAAATGTAATCAGAATCTAGTCTTTTTAATTCTTTCTAAGAATAAATGGTCTATTTAATAGTAGTATACTATGGTTTCATAAAAACTGTACTTTGAAGTATATATTTTAAAATGTAAACTACTAAAATTAAATTTCTATCAATAAGCATATATATTTTATACTGTGACATTGGTAAGCATATTTTAAACTTCTTTAGCACATTTATTTTTATTCTATAATCTTTAAACTAATAGGTATGAATTTGTTCTAAGTTTGATACTATGAATATAACAGTTTCTTGAGTGGGATTTTTTTTTTTTCTAAATGTTTGATATTACCATATGATGCTGAAATAACTTTCAGTGTTGTTTTTCCATTTTTAAAGTTGCTGAACTCTTGCCCACAGTTAAAACATAAAGTTTTAGGGACAATATTAAGGTGTATGAAAAGTTCGTTGGAATGCATTCGCCACCTCCGAAGCCTGCTTTCTCTTTTACCTCTGCTTACCAAATTCCTCGGCCATGGAGAGCTGGGGACTGGGAAATAATCCCAGGTTCCCTGTCTGTTGCTGTCTTTTGGCTTTAGCAATGGTCCGAACAGGTGACTTGGTCACTAACAAAGAGTTGCCCTTTGTTTATAAACACTAATGCATGATTAAATGGTTGATAAATTTTGGTGTTGATTATGATTCATTAAAAAATGTACTGTGCTTCATTTGTTCTCTTAGCAATTATTTTGATAGTATTTCTATCCAATTTAGGAATGGTGGTATTTATATTTTAGCATCGAAATGAATTTTTTGCATAAGGACCTCTGATTACAAGAGATATTTGGGGGTTAGGGGTAAAGGGATAATGCTTTTGGACCCAATATACTGCATAGAGCTGTCACACAGCAGCTTTTCAACTAAAATATTCAGTTTCATAATCTTCATTATTTCAGTGTTTTTAAATTTTTTTTCCAGGAGATTCAAATAAAAATGGAAGAAGAAGTTCTACTTTAGATTCTGATGGGACTTTTAATTCCTATAGGTAGGTGATGAATACATAGATACATATTATTATAAGACAATATACAAGATGTTACAGGATTCCAATCTTAGAGTAGTAAGGAAGTGTTACCTGTCCTTTAAAAATAAGTCAAATGTAAAGAATATTGTGATATGTGATTGTTCTTATCACAGACTGTAATGAACAGTGTAACCTTTTTGGTTCTAAAGTAAATGACCTTATTGTAAACATCAGTTGTTAGTGTATAATTGGTATGAATGCACATGTAGTATTAAGCTCCATTATAATCCATTTTTTATTTTGTTTTTGCAGTATATCTGTTACCTTACTAAAGGCTTCCATTTGTTTAAGTTTCCGGTTAAAACAGAATATATTCCTTATGAGTGTCTAAGAATATGAAATGTAACCCATGGTTACATCAAGTGCTGTTTGTTTATATCCCATTTGGTTCTTCAGCAAATGGGACAGTTACATCTCAGTTAGTGATTTTTTTTTTAAAGGATATGCTGGTTAAGAAAACATGTATCTTCTCTAGTATTTTGGTAATATTCTCCTTATAACTTAATTTCCTTGAGTAAATGTTTATGGATTTTGTACCTTCATAACAGGGAAACCTAGGAAGAAGAAAGATTATATTATTTCCAGTAATATTTGAATATTCATATACTTAACCAGAGTAATATAAAAACTAGGTTGTTTTGTTTTAAGGAAGAAAGGTCCAGATTCAATAATAATACATTTAGGCATTGTAGATAGCAGTGCAGATTCTTAAAGAAATACTTCGAGTACACTGCCCTGATGGTTAATTAGTTCTTTTGCAGTGACAATACAATACACACAAGAACCACTGTACACTTGGAAACTCACTTGAATGTTAAGCTGTAACTCCTTCTTTTATGTACTAAATACGGAGTTTATGATTGGAATCTTTATATTTTTATTTAAAAACCCATTGTATGTCCCTAATTGGAACTGTGTCATTTGTCTTTTCATATTCCAGGCAAGCTTTTAATATCTAGAATTGGGCCTTATACACAGGAAGGAAGCACTTAATAAGAATGTGGTAAATGGGAAAGTTTTTTACAATTTGTTCATGAATTCCAGAAACGAGATCGTAATTGAAACACTTGACATCTTTATTTTATATCAGTTGGGGTCTGTATAAATAATCAGTCGTTCAAGTGTCACAGATACTACAAAAGGCTTATGTTCCCATGGTGTTCTAGAAGGGTATTATCACAGCAGTAAAGCTCATATGTTGTCATTATATTTTCAGTGTACTCATCCTACCTTATAAATGTTGGAATTCTTCAAATCCTTCTTTTAGTACTGAAGTGAATATAAAAGATAGTTAAACATTCATGATTTGGCATGTAAGTGAGGAATGTTAATATGATAATATATGTGAAATCTATGTTGTTAGTATCATTGCTAGATATAAATACAAAAAAATAGCTAAGACAAAAGGAAAATAGGAATGTATTTCAAAGGAAGGAAAATCCATATCTGTATATATTTTGTTGGTGAGTTAAATTTTATAGTTACATTTGTAGTTTAGCTAATTATACTAAATAATGGACATAATATAAAGTTAAGAGAAATGTGTTAATGTGAAGACACAGTATTATCTTGTAGTTTATTTTATTCTTGAATAGTTTGAAGATTAAAATGTTTTAGTATTATTGGATGATAATTGTACTTTGAAAATGAACTCCTAATGCAACTTTGCACAATAAATACTAATGTTGTTAACTAATATAATTCTAATCAATGCCTGTCAGTGTTGTAATGTTAGGATATTAATTTATTGTTGTAATTAAAAAGGCAAGATAAAAAGCTCAGGTAGTACAATATATAAAAACGAGCTTTTCATAGTTGGCAGGCCAGTGCTGTTATTAAATAGTATTATAGTATTTAAGGTGTGAAATGAATATTTTTCTACTCAGCAGGCAATAGCTCTTACAATATAATGAGCTTACTTGTGAATTTGACACTTGGGTTAAATGCAGAATTCATAGAAGCATAGCTCTGGGGTATATTTTCATATTAAGGTTAACTGATAAAACCTAGGAATTGTTGCGTGATCACTCTAAAATGCAACAGAATTGTCAGTAAAATTCCCTTTTGAAAATGAAAATTATTTTTCTGTTGCTATCATTGCTATTTTAAACTTTACATAAATTATTAGAAAAATGTAACTGTTAACCCTCAAAGCTCCTTTAGCCTACGAGTTCTACCTTTGTCTTATTTAAACTGTTTCAGAAATCCTGACCTTTCTTCACAGTCAGATAGTTCTGGCTGCCAGCCTAGTACCATCATATTCAAGTTCTGTATACTTCTATCCAGGATAATGATTAGCCTTAGTTTGTCATCTTGTAAGACAGACATTCTAATGTCTAACCTGCTTCCTCCTCACAGCTCTTGTAAAGACTGATCAAACGTAGAAGATAAAGCCTTTTGAAAATCCAATTGCAAACCCATTGCGTTTATTAATTCTTTCTGGAATTAATTCTTTCATATAAATTGGCAACTTTGTTGCCTTAGCCTTCATTTAACCCTCCAATACATGTACCCTTTTATAGTGTATGTGGAGGTTTTATTAACTATTGAATTCAGTCTTGAATTGGTCACCTAAGTCTGTACTCTTCTTCCCATTATGTGTTTGTCTTATTGTGGTCTGGGATTGTCACTTTCAAGAGGGCAGAATCACTGATTGTTGTTGTTTTGTTTTTCATTTGTTAATAATGCCTAAATATATGGTGAGATGGTTCAGATCCTGGCTCCAAATACTTGGGAAACTTGGACAAGTCTTAGCCTCAGTTTCCTCACCATTAGAGTGGGGTTAAAAAGAAGGAGTTGATGGGATAGTGTCATGTGGTAAATGCTGAGTAAATAGTAGCTGCGTTTATCTTCTTGTCTGTGGCATCATCATCATTGTCATCATTGGTAACCTCCTGGTATTGAGAATTTTTTGCAGTGCCCTGATATAGAGACACTGAAAGGAAGGTAAAAAAGAATGTGTGACTTACAGGACAATACCTTTTGTCTGTTTGGAGGAAAGGAGCTAAGAACAAACTTAACCTGAGGCTTGAAACTCTCAATCTGATACAGTATTCCAGTTGCCTTCAAAATTTGCTACAGAAGCAAATTTGTACACATAGCAATGATATAAGGAAGATGTTTTATTCTTAGTATAAATTCAGGCGTGGGTTTTTGGAATTTTGACAAATTCTGAAATTTACAGTCGATCAGATCCTAACACGATAGTACCATATGCATAATGTTCATAGATTTGTTTTTCATAGGCCAGGAAGTTTTACTTGGATTTGTGTCTTTTGTGGTTTTGCTTCATTGATTCCAGTGGAGTGCAGCTGAATTTAACAACCAAGGTACCAGTATGAATATTATATGGTGCCTAGATAATAGATTAGATCTTGTTTTAGAACTTCTTGTTAAAATTCAGTTATATGTCTCCCAACTAATTTTCAGATGATGTATTAAAATGGAAAATTTAGAAGACTTGAGAAGTTATTATTGGTTTATGCAGTAGATCTTACGATTTTTAAAGACCAGTGTTCTCCGTCAGTTTATATGAGCCTTCTGTATTTCTTATTTAAACATTAAAACTGAGAGACCCTTGCTGGGTATGAAAGAAGAATAGTGGTTTGCCGATTAGCAGTTTGCAGTAGATGATTAAGTTAGTGACTGTAGCACAAGGCCGCATGGTAGAAGGAATATTCTCTCCCCACCACCCTCCTCCTTTCCCAAGGGCAGCTGACCTTCTCCTCTCCAAAGAGGCGAGCCCCTTGCCAGCACATATGACTACAGACTATTACATTAATCTGTTTAGCTGTAGTACCAGCTGCTTGCATGTTTTTAATTATCTTATTAGATAGTATAACAGTGACCTATGAAATAAATTGAAGGTGAACATTTTTAAACTTTCCCTTTTTTACCCTATGTTTCTAAATATCTTTATTGGTCAAATTATACCTTTCCACAAAAGTTCATAGAAGTCTGTATGGTTTTTTAATCCGTGTAATGCTTTTTTCACATATAGTGTTATGATTCCCAAAATAGAAAATAACTTCATTTTTGCTTCATTTTTTATTTAGGATATAAAGATTTAGAATTGCCTCATTTGTGATTTAGGTAGTGTTTATGTGGTAACAAATCCATGTTAAAATACGTTGCAAATAGTTTAGTTAGAGAAGACCCAGACAAGTTATTGGCATTCTCGGGGAAACCCAGAATATTGCTTAATTTTCAGACATCATCTTGGTATGTTGTATAAATGTCATAGGGTAGAAAATAAGTCATTGTAGATCATTTTTAAATAAATTTGTTTACTTAACTATGATTTTCTAGATTCTGATATGGGGTAGTAAATCATGTAGTCTACCCTAATTACTTCTACAATTTAATTTCACATGGTACCATTGCTGGGTATATTTTCCCAAGCTGTGCCATTAGGAAAAATGTATTATCTTGTGACTTTTGACAGTTGGATAATTTTCAAATAATAGTTTATAAATGAAATGTTGACTCCAGGCGACACAGTTCAAAATAGTAATAGCCAGTGGTTGTTCTGTTATAACTCATCACCAATAAACAAAGATTGTTAATAGTTAGAAACCTTGGTGTTGCATTTTTTAAAAAGGGAGTGGATACAGAAAGGATTGCAAAATACTTATGCATGTCTTTTGAATTAGTAAATCCTACAACTGGGATGGTGGGATGACTTGAGACTTGAAACATTTATGAAGATCTCAAATAAATGTGAAGTACACATTAGTTAAAGAACTACCCATTCTTTTTAGCTTTCTGTTTTTTCCTTTTAAGAAATAACACATTTCATATTTTAAAAGAACATTTGTTGAAGAAATAAAGGGAACTTCCCCCCTTTATATTTTTTATTGTCTTTCCTTAAAAAGGAATTAAAAAAATAAAAAGCCACTTGGCAGTATATTGGGTGGTATTTATAATTTCTTAATTATATTATCTGAGCTTCTGAGGTTGCCTCTCTTTATCAATAATTATATTATCTGAGCTTCCGAGGTTGCCTCTCTTTATCAATATTGTGTGTTCTGTACCCCATAGAGTTAAAGGCTGTTTTGAAGTTGATAAAACGTTTTCAAAGAAATTGTGGCTGGTTTGGCTTTTTCACTCCAAAGTAAATTCTTTTCCTGAATAATAAAAATACATTTATTTGAACACTGTTTAGTCATTGAGTAAACTTTAAAAAAGTAGTCTCATAGTTTTATCATAAATATTTTTGTGTCCTATTTGTACGTAATCAGTAATTTGAGAGAATGTGGCAAATATCCTTCTATCATTTACATTTATTTCTAGTATAATACCTTTTTTGTCCCATTTGTATGTAAGTGGGTCATATGTGTCTTGAAACAACCATGAAATAGTGATTTAAAATATTAGTAGAGATCATAGAGTAAAAGCATACTTTGGATTTAATATTTAGAAATCTGGGTTCTGGTTACACTCTTAGAGTGATATAAGTTTGTTACTCTGTTACATTTAAGAATATGGATTCAGTATCAATTTAATTGCTGAATGTTACACTTTTAGTTTGTTCAGGCTGCTATAACAGATATCACAGGCTAGGTGGCTTATAAACCACAGAAATTTATTTCTTGTAGTTCTGGAGGCTGGGAAGTCCAAGATTAAGGTGCTGGCAGATGTGGTGTCCAGTAAAAGTCTGCTCCTGGTTCTCTGTCTTTTCACAGTGCTCTCACATAGCAGCGGGGCTAGAGAGCTCTCTGAGGCACTAGTTCTATTCATGAGGGCCCACCTCCGAACACCCATCACACTGGTTGTTGGGTTTCAACATATGAATTTGAGCGAAGTGGGACATTCAGTTCACAGCATATACTAAAGATAATAGAGACTAACCTGAATTTCCATCCCACTCTTCTACCACTCAGTAGTTTTAAGTTCCTAAGCCCTTGCCATTTTATTTTTCTAGGCTATCAGTGCTTTGTAAGTAGATGAGAAAGGTTTTTTTTCCTGATTCTTAGATCAGGAAAAGAGAGAAGGAGCAGGGGGCAGGCAGGGGCATCTAGGGAGGGAGATGCAGACTCCCTGCTGAGCAGGGAGCCCGATGTGGAGCTTGATCCCAGGACCCTGAGATCATGACCTAAGCCGAAGGCAGACGTTTAACTGACTGAACCACGTAGGTGCCCCGTGCTTTTCTCACTTTGTGTTTCCTATATTTTGTGGAGAATCTATGTAACTATATGATACAAACTCTGTAAGTTTTTATAAATACATGATTCAGGAAAACAATTTGGAAAAAAACATACAGATTGCAGTAAAACTGACTTAAGTTTATATCTTAGCTCTATCATTTACTGACTGTGTGATGTTAGGCAAAAGAATTAATCTGATTCCTGATTACCTCATTTGTAAAATTGGAATGTTAACAGCTCCTATATCATAGAGTTGTAGGGAGCATACCTATAATGTGTAGAACACCTGGCCCAGTCATCTAACACATGATAAACTAATTTCTGCATCTTTCCTTTCTCTCTTTTCTGAAATTTCCTTAAGTTTTTTTTAAATTTATTTTTAAAAAATATTGTTTATTTATTTGAGAGAGGGAGAGAGTGAGGGAGAGAGGGGACAAGCAGAGGGGGGAGGAGCAGAGGGAGGGAGAAGCAGGCTTTCTGCTGACCATGGAGCCCAACATGGGGCTCGATCCCAGGACCCCGAGATCATGACCTGAGCCAAAGTCAGACACTTAACCCACTGAGCCACCCAGGTGCTCATGAAATTTCCTTTAAGTTTTAATCAACTTTTCATCTATTTAAGTTGTCCTTTGTCTCAAAAAAGTATTTTTAAAATCCTCTGCAGTCCTAAACTGGCAGTAAATGAGTATTTAAGTATTAGACCTGCAGTAATCTATAAAAGATGAAATTTATAAATATCTACAGTTATCTATAGATTATATAGGAAAAATGTTTATAAAATCCACTCTTATTTAGCCTCACAATCTCAGTATCAAATTTTCTTATTTCTTGTTTTCATATTTGTTGACCTAGCATGACAACCTTTATAGTTCAATGAAAATTTCAGAAAGCACAAAATATGTATGTAACCGTTGCATTATCCAGAAACCAAAATCAAAATAATACCTTAATTCATATCTCCATAATGAAGCCATATTTGAAAGAGGGGGGGATTACACTTGAATGATGAATATATCTTCTTGAAGTAACTTTATTATTTTTTTATGATAATGGAACTGGTCAGTGTCTATGCTTTTCTGTGATATACAACTGTCTGAACTAGTTATTGATCTAATAAGACCCTGAAAATGTTACCTTCCATTTAAGTAATTAACTGGCTTGTTTGCATTTACAGTCTTACATTAACATAACCCAAACTGACTTGAGCATACATGTTAGTTTGAGTTCCTTTGCTTCAGAAGCCCCTTCAAGCCCTTTTTATTATCTGTAGCCCGGCTCTAGGGGAAAATTTTTTTTTGTATTTGTTTATTTACAGTCAGCTGCAAGCTCCAATCATCCAAGGCTGTGTAAATGTTTATCATTGAAAAGACAGGCATACATTTGAAATATGAGGATAAGCTGCTCTGAGTCAGTCATCACTGAGAGTCCCTTCCCCTGAACACACTTCTGTTTTTTCCTGGTGTCCCATTTGAAAAGCACCCCTGTCAGCCCCATGGGTCACTATTTGTAGTATATATTAGCATGCTGTACTTTTTAAAAAAGTAGGATAGTGAAATGGACGATGTCAATTTAAATATTTGGTCAGTAATGTTGAAGTGTGTTACTGGATCTATAATTTGAGAAAATAATACAAAGAAGAACAGTTTAAAAGTGGAAAGTTATAAATCTTTTAAACATTTTACAAATACCTTGCTTATTTATTTACTTATGAGTGTGCTTTATAGTTACATAGTTAGCTCTACATAAGGCTTGACTACTGATTTTTGATTTGACAAACAAAGATACAGTTTAAAGGTGGAATTTTTACAGAATATTTTAATAGAGATTGATATTCAGTATTTGTCTATTTTCCGTATCAGATTTCCCTTGCCTTCTGGGGGAAAGGTGGCAGTGGTTAGTAATACTCTTTTTTTTTTTTTTTTTTGCTTTATATAAATATCTTTATTTTGTTTTTGGATGTATACAGCAGTGTACATTTGAGTGAGGAGGCTGCTCAAGCCGAATAGGGAAAAGGTTACAAAACATACATTAAAAATATTCATATCAAAAGCATGAGGATCCTTCCATCCTTTTTTAAAGAACAAGCATTATACAAATGGAAAGTCTGTGACAAAGAATTTCAAAGTTCAAGAGCCTGTCACAGTAATGAGGTATAAATAACGGGCAAGAGGAGTCTTGCAAGCTTCTCTCTTCTCCATTGCTCACTGAAGTCTCATTCGTTTTTCAGGAGGGCCTTTGGTGCTCACTATCTGTTGGACGTTCTTTGTGGTCTCCTTCTCTTCAGATTTTACAGTTTCTGGTACAGGTTCTGCCTCTTTCTTTGTCTGATCCACTGGGACAGGCTTTTCTCCAGACTTTTGCTGCACAAATTTGGGTGGAAATTTCTGTCTCAGGTCTAGGAGTAAAGCATCGACACGCTGTCTCTGAAAAATAGAGCTTGGTTCTTCTTTCCTTTTAGCTTTAGGTTTGACTTTATCTTGCTCTTCATGATCTTTGAAATGCCACCAATACCCTTTGGAAGGATGGTATCGACAGTAGGACATAGCTTCATCAAAAGCTGACTGAATGCCATGCACTGCAGTAAGCACCCTAGAGTTCATAACAGACCCCAAGTCTGGGGCTTGATAGATCACTCCAGCAATGATATAGTAATCAGCCAGTGGGATAACTTGGGTAGGGGACTGCCGCTGTTGCTTCCAAATGATAAAAAGAATGGGCTCTTGAGCATGTAAAAGGATGTATTCTACTCCAACCATTTGATTTAAGTGTTCTAATGTTAGCCTCTGCATTTTGACCACCTCATTATTACATCTTCTGTCGTAAAAAGGATTACTTCTTTCTGAAAAGTAATCCAGGACACTTCCACTCTTCAAAATGGGGATCCAGGAACTGTCAACCCAAGAGATTCCCAGCAGATTATCTCGAATATCCACCGCCGCCATAGTTCTAAAAGCGCTCGCAGGTTCTCCCAGTAATACTCTTTAAAAAGAAAATTTTTTTTTATTTGACAGAAAGAGAGAGCACAAGCAGGCAGAGTAGCAGGCAGAGGGAGAGAGCGAAGCAGGCTCCCTGCTGAGCAAGGAACCCCCACCCCCACCCCACCCCACACAGGGCTTAATCCCAGGACCCTGGGATCATGACTTGGGCCGAAGGCAGTCACTTAACCAACTTGAGCCACCCAGGCGCCCCTGTAATCCTATTTTTTCAAGTTTTTTTCCTAATCCAGAGGTTTCACAAGTGTTTTTGCGACATTTGTTTTTATATATATATAGCATATACATATATATTTATATATGTTTATAAATATATACTATTATTTATATATAATATATATATTTATATATATGGTCATATATACATAAAATATACATAGAAATATAAAAACAATATAAATTTTGGTTTTATATATATATTTGGTTATATATATATATATTTGGTTCAGGAGAGCTAACAAATCTTCAATCATCCTGCACATCTTTGTTGTACACCCATTATAGACAAGCCAGTGGGCTAAACCTCCAAGACCCAAGGATGACTAAAACACTGCCCATTCATCATATAGGAGGGGAGACAGACATGGAAGCAACTAATGTAGATGATGACCAGTGTTCTAATGGGAACATTTTATAAAGAACTAGAGGAATACTAGATGGCGTAAATTTGAGGGGTTGTTGGGGGAATGGTGGTTACAGGGAAGGTATATCTGCTGGACATTCTAGAGGGATAAGACTTTTCTATGAGGTGAACAATATGAGTAAAGATAGTCTTCATTTTCTCCTAACAATACATTCTTTTGGGGGGGCACTGTTAAAATGGTTAGATTCAATTGCCTTAACATTTGTTAGTGACAACATTATGCCCTTAGTTATAAAAGACAGCTAAAGTGGCCCTTACAGTACGAGTATTTACATACATCTGTTTCATTCTGTTGACTTTGTTACTTTGCATGAACTAGTATTTTGATAGTATTAAAGTTTTAGATTTTAGTATATCGGAGGTGTTTGATATATTTAAATCCATGATCAAAAAATTTAACTGGGAGTTGAAAATGAGAATCTTTAAATCACAAAATTATATGAAATAGCTGATAATGATATAATTGAGAATGAATATTATGTGCTTAGAAATATGGGAAAAATCAATAAAGCAGCTATGGAATAAAAAATAGCCTGCTAATGAGAGAATATTTGAAATTTAAAAGAAGTCCTAGTATCATCTGAACATATGGACATAGTTTTCATTTCATGATTATAGATGCAATGTTCTGAGATAGTTATAGTAGTTTAGCTGGTTGACATATTTCAAGGATTTTCAAAGATTGAATTTCAAGCTATTTGTTCAGATTAGAAAAGTATTTCAGATGACAAGCCCAAGTCTCTGAACCCATTTGAAGCAAAACGGGATAGTTGAACACTATCTCTTAACTCTCATTCCAGTTTTTTAATGTGTTTCTAGATCTTAAAGTTGCCTTGAGCAGCAGAGCTCTACTGTCATTGAACCAGGCACAGAACTCTTTGTTATGTGGATTTTGTTCAGTGCACAGTAATGAGTTTATAACCTCTTAAGTAACTACTTTTGTTTGGTTGCCCCTGACCAGAGTCTGCTTCTCTCTTTTAATATTCTGATTATGTAGGTTGAACAGGGACTATTTTTTTTTTTTTTTTTTCTTACTTGAGAGATCTAGAAGAGGGTCGAGAGAGTAGGATAAATAAAGCCAGAGTGGTCTGACTGGTGTTTTTTAACACTGTTCCTGTCCCTGTTTTTCCCACTGTCACCTGGACTGTTGATGAGCCCTAGAGAAGGATCCCCATTTTCCTGCCTCTATATTTCTAGGTGTCATTCCTAATCATAATATTTTAAAAAGGTCTGTAGAAAAATGAGAATTTTCTTATGCTAGTTTTCAATTTTATAGCAGCGTTTCATGTGACAGTTTTATGGAAACATTTCTTTGGTTCATATAAGGATATCTGTGGTCATATAATTAAAATTTTTGTGGCATCCATTTGGGAATATCTGAATTATTGAGCATATGGATAACAGAATAAAAAAATAACAAAAGGCCTTTTATAAAGTCAGGACTAAATTTTAGTTCTCTTGAAGTAGATGAACTTTCAGATAACATAAAATTTCATCAGTGGAAAATACTTCTGCCTAAGACAGGAGTTCTATGAAACATATTTTAATTTGGACAAGGAGGTCATGAGAAAATGTTTCATCTTCCACTGTGATGCAGAACAACTCTTCTTAAAAAAATCAGTAATAAAAATACTACTCCCACTGGTGTTCTAGCCTACATAGGAAACACAGTGCAGACTCAAATTAGGTCTCCACACCCTGATTCCTTCATTTTAGTGTCTTCTACCAATGCTTTATCCCCTACCCCTATATCCAATATTCAGAAAAGGGGTTTTTCCTTTTTTTTGTTTGAGATACAGTAGGCAGTTAAGGAAAGACCACAGAGGGGATACATATTTGTTCTCCCCTATGACTCTGGCCAACAGTAACGTATAGCCTCATTATGATACATGTACATTGTGGTTTTGATTCCCTCCCTGTGGGGAGAAGGCGGCCATGACAGTTCCAACAAGGACCATATAGGGCCAAACCGCGCACACACCCCCACCCCCCCACTGGGAGGAGGAGTTCCTTAGATGATTGGAAGCAGCTTCAGTCAGAGACCACCCTAGCTATGACCCATAACCTATGCAAACATAAAAAGGAAAGACAAAAGAAGACTCTGACCCCTGATATAGTTGCCATCTCTGTGCCTGCCCCCTCTCCCACCTTGAGAGGATGCTTTCTCTTTAACTGCTAGTAAAGTCTTGCTTAAAGGTTTGGCTTTGAATTCTTTCTTGGCCGAACTCAAGGACTGAAGCCTTGAGGGGAATGGGATTGGCTGCTGACATTTGGATATACGGTAACATCCCAGTTATTTACAAGTCAAATTTCTAATAGCTTCAACCAGCTAGAATATAACCAGAAACTTAGAAACAGGCGGAAAATATTAGAACAGGCAAAATATTTGTTTATTAAAATATGTTTAGGCACAGGAGAACCATTCTAGTCCTTATTCCCAGTCTTATTTCACATTTTTCTTTTTTTTTTTTTTTAAAGATTTTTATTTATTTATTTGACTGACAGGTCACAACTAGGCAGAAAGGCAGGCAGAGAGAGAGAGGGAAGCAGGCTATCCGCCGAGCAGAGAGCCCGATGTGGGGCTCGATCCCAGGACCCCGGGATCATGACCCGAGCCGATGGCAGAGGCTTTAACCCACTGAGCCACCCAGGCACCCCTCACATTTTTCTTAAACTAGAAAAGATTCTGATAATTTATGATGTTGAATTAGGCTAAAATATGTGACAGCTTAAAGCCTAATTTGTTGTCTTTATTTTAAAAAAGACACACTGGACAAGTGACAGAGGAGTGTAGATTTAGGATTTTAAAGAGCTAATGTATAATCATTATGCAGATTGGTAGCCAATAGCCTGATAATGATAGTCATGAGAAAAATGCCCCTAAAAACAGAATGGAAAACTCCAAAAGCAAAGCAGTGTCAAGTTATTTAATGTAAGAAATAGCCATCCATTTTCCAGATGTATACCACATCTGGACACAAATTTCTTTAAGGCTTAGTAATATTTTGATACTCTCAACATTTTTGTGTCGCAAAAAAAAATCACTTATGTGGCATACATTGGTCTTTCATTATGCTGGGTGTATGAGGTATTCAAGTATGAGATTTTTTTATAGTGTGAGTTCTTTTCTTTTAAATTATAAATAGCGTGAGATTTTCTGGTCACCTTTGGGTGAGGATATTTCCTTACTTTTTCAGACGCCCATGTGAAATTATTTTCTTAGGTACACTAATCCAAACAAATTATAAAGTACATAATGTCCATATTGACTTAAAGTTTATCACATGACCCACTTATCTTCGTTTGAAATTTTCATATTCTGGATCTTTGAGCCAGTCTAATACAGAGTATGGTCATATTAGGTTCATGATTCGGATCTTGGATCTCATTCTTGCCAGCATTGATTATTTTTAGTAACTTACAGATGCATCACTTCATCACTTAAAGATTTGCTTCCCTAACTTTTGTGTGTATATAAGAAGAGAGGGATGAGAGGAAGCAGGGGGTAAGGGATTGTGGTAGAGACAGGGAAACCTAGACAGGGAAAGGCAACTATAGATAAACAATATCTATTATATCTATATATGATCTTACTAGCACCATTCATTTAGGATTAATTATATACTGTTAGATCTCTTATGGAACCATCTTGACTTTTGTTAACTAGTTGTATTAACTTTTAAAGTGTATCTGCTTCTTTCTCCAGTAACACTATATGGGATATATATAGTGTGTATATTTTATCTCTTGAACTTTTTTATAGTTGTTACTTGAAAAATCAAATGTATCTATGAATGGTTTATTATCCTTAAAACACTTTGAGTTTTGGTGTTCAGTATAGGAACCATTAGTGACATGAGTCTATTTAAATTTAGGTTTAAATCAGTTAAAATATGTAGTTCTTCAGTTACACTAGCCATATTTCATCTGCTTACTAGTCACACGTGGTTAATGATTACCATATTAAACAGTTAGCTATAGAACATTTCTGTTATCTGAGAAAGTTCTGTTAGGTAGTGCTGATCTACAGATTGTCAAATGAATGATGGATTCAGTTATAATTCATTCAGATCTTTTTAAGAGAAAGTATTGTTTGAAGCATACATGTATTTCTATGTGTATATATAATACCCTGTAAGTCAACCTAATCTTGAAAAACATGGTTTATGAGATTGGATTTACTTTAAATTAGGACATCAGATTTTGCTAAATAAATGTCTGTTTCTAAATTGCTGCAGAGTAATTTGTCTTTAATTCTGTAAGCATTTACTTCTTAATATTTTTTACATTGTAGACTGTGGCAAATTCTTATCACATTGGAAGTTA